GAGGCCAAAAAAGAGGGAACAAAAGCTAGAGGGGAGAGGAATGAATAGGGGTGGCAATGTGCCCTCCGGACCAGGCTCCATCGTAGTCACTTACCACTTCACTCATTACTTTCTGCTACGAAAGATTAATGCCTACAGTGAATTACAGCTCAATAAATTGTAAACAGATGAGCCAAGCAGGGAGAAGGGGAAGGTGGCCAAAAGAAAGGAAGAGAAAAAGATTTGTTGCTCCTCCTGCTTCTTCCTATTTGATTTGATGGTCCCCTAGGAGCACTAATTGCAGCACAGGGACTTCAAAGACTTGATTTGACCATGGTTTGTCTTCTCTTCTCTGTCTAACCCTGAAGGCACCCACTTTCTTTTCCATGGTCCATGTCCATGTCCCCTCCTTTCCAGTAGGATTTTCAAGTCCTGCACTTTGTAATATTTTTATGACATTGGGGAAGTGCCATGTTGCGTTCTTCGTGGGATATTTCTGGATGTTGCTAGCTGTGGCTGTTTTTTGCCAGTACTGCCATCCCTTGCCATACACGTTTCTTTGGAAACTAGGATGAAATAAATAGTTCTGCCACTTTATCAAGTATGGAGAAGTCCATTAAATCTGGGTCTAAAAACAGGTCATTTGACAAGCTGATGGAGTAGGGGATCAGCCAGGAAGGAAGCAATTTCACGGTGTCATATAAACTCCTCTTTATCTGCATCTCTCCTCTGGCCTGTTTTGGAATGCATGTTTATCACTTGGACTGGCAAAGCAGCCCAGCTGACAGATCTGTGGGATGATGGATAGATCTGGGATAAAGCAGGAGGAAGCTATTTTGATGTGCAGTTTTTTCTTGGGTCCCCTCCCCATTATGGCACCTTTCACCTTTCATCAGTTTGACCACATGATGGCTCTTAGTTGATTCTTATACTGGCTTCCCGCTCATTTCCAGAAGCTTTTTGTCCTTACCTTGTATTCCATTCCATCCAATCCCATCCCGTTCTCTCTATTTAGCCCATCTTTTCATTCATTCATTCATTTCATTTCATTTCATTTATTGGATTTATATACCGCCCTACTCCCAAAGGACTCAGGGCAGTGAACAGCCACAGAATAAAACACATAAATACAAAATTTAAAAACAGAATAAAACCGAATTAAACAATTTGGCTGAGATATATGTGGTTCATCCAGTTGAACCACATTTGGTCATCTGAAGCATCTGAAGCTCTCCTGTCCCTCAAATGTTTCTGTCCTTATTGGCTTTCTCGCTCATTATTGGCCATTTTGCCATTCTTGATGGAGTTGTGGTTCAGCCAGCACTTGGAGGACTGCTTGCAATGCACCCAGTCTAAAAGAGAAACATACACACACACACACACACACACACACACACACACACACACGATTAAAACATTTGACTATTGTCTGTTATTTTCAAAGCATTTGCTGGCCAAAAATGTCAATGGGCCATCAGCAGAATTAGCAACGCAATGGGATGTTAAAAACCCCACACCATGAAATTAAGTTTTACTCTCTTAGTAACTGTGTTATGAGCCTCCAGCTCACTTCATGGTATATCAGCTAGGAAATCATCTTCAGAGAGTTAATTGCCCAAGATTTACTTCAGAACATCACAATGACCTGTGGCTTTGACGCACATTGACAAAGATGGATGAATGGCTTGGCTACTTCAACAGGAAACTGAAAGGGCAGTAGTTAAAGAATAATCATCTTTGTACAATTGACAGCCTATTGCTCTGTGAAGAGATGTGGATGAATGATCAGAGAGAGGATCTTAATTTGATACATGTTTCCTTTTTCCTACAACCATCCAGCAACTTAGTTGTTGTTGTTGTTATTACTTGCTTTCATCCATTTACCTCTTCAAGGCTATAATTTTATAAATAAATCACCCCAATATTAATTCTGAACAAGATAGTCTTGCTTAATGAGTTTAAAAAAATCTGTATAGAAGGTATCAGAATGCTTGGTTATTTTATTAGATTTGGGGACTTAAAGTGAACTGTAATATCTCTATAAAAGCAACAATACAATAAAATGTGAATGATACATTCTATGGCACCTGTATCACATGGACATAATTGAGCAGTATATGGACTGCAGGACTTTTTGTGTGTGTCTGCTTTCCAGAATAGTTGACAACAAAACATTAAACTGAGCCAGTGTTAAAGCTCTTCTCAATTTGAATATCATGTTATAATCTAAGTGTCTCGCCAGTCTGAAAATACAAGATTGATTACTCAATATTCCTGGGCAGGAGAGGCTAGTCTTGTTGTCTTTCAGTGTCCAGAATGTGTTGTATCAGAATTGTTTTGGCTTGATCATATCCAAAGTAGGGCTCTTACACATCCCCTATACAGGGGTGGGTTCTACTTACCTTTACTACCGGTTCATAACAGGACCGTGCGCACGCGGTGGGCGGAGTCTCCCGCCGGTTTTACTACCGGTTCTTGCGAACCGGTCTGAACCGGGGGCAACCCACCACTGCACCTATAGCAATGTCACTATACTCTGCAACCAAGTCCAGCACATTTGCCCTAGCAGTAGAATTAGTCCAATCTCTACTTTGTAGTTCTTTCTATTTAATAATTTTCTAGAACAAATAATTAGTATTATAGAAGGTTGCCAGGTAGGTTATTATAGACTATAGATTCTTTATTACATCAATGCTCAGTTTATTTTAAAAAAACACTGAATATATACAATTGATTAATTAAGTAGATAAGTGTGTTAAACTGCTATGTATTTTACACATTACTTGACATAATTTGGCATACACTGAAAAAAATAGAATCATCCGAGTCTGAAAATCGAGTTGTAAATAAACCTGATCAAAAGGACAAGGAACTTGGTTAAAGGTGGGATTAACCATATGTCTTTATTAAAAAGCTTTGCTGCCCCAAATGAACATCATAAAATGAACAATGTAATAAAACATGTCTATGGTTTCAATAACCACTGCAAATATACATTTAGCATCTAGCTGGTACCATGATTATTTTAATTATTTTCAGTTTTTATTCTCATCTCGAGAATTTTTTTAAAGAAAAGAGAATGAGGAGCGGAGTTGGAAGAATGTTAGCAAACACAACTTCAAAACAGAAAAACAACTACTTCCCCCCTCCCCCCTTTCTGGCAAATAGTAGAGAAGGACATGGATTTTTAAAAACCGACAATAAAAACAAATACCTTGAAAAATTAAATCCCTGAAAAAATTAAAAAGAATGGAAATATACCAAGGTTTCACTGGGCCTTTTAATCTTTAATTCTGTGTCGGTTTCTGTTAAATGCTCTAACTGGGTCAGACAAACAAGAGCATTTTTTCTGTCTGAATGTCTTGCAAAGATAACTTTTAACTGTGATATGCGTCAAGAGCTGACCCCACCACTCCAAGCTCAGCATTCAGCAAACAGGTGACTTTTCATGAATGTGGGAATGGCTTTCTTTCCCTGTTCTTAAACCTCCAGTCTTGTGAAGCTAACAGAGATGGGTCAGGGAACACGGAATGTCCTTCTGATCCTTTGGGACCTGGCTCATAAATCAGCTAGCAGCAGCGTTATTATTTTACTAGTCAAACGCATAGAATGACGCTAGAGAGCAGGGTTGCCAATGGTAGGGTGCTTCAGCAGGCTCCAAGCCAGAAATTTCATGAAAATAAGCAAGTAGGACATTGAGGACTAAAGGTAAGTGTCTGTTTGTGTGAACTATTGCCATGACTTAAATTATAGGTTGCCTAATACAGCACATGTAATGGTATAATGGATAAACTATTACATTTGCCAAAAAGAAATTCTGCATTAATGAAAGCAAGACTTTAGAGGAGAGAAACTGTCCTTGTTTTGATACAATTTATAGATTTGTTACTGTTTATTAGCTGGATTTCTATTCTGCCTTTCTATTATAGTGAGAGCCATGATGTTTAGCAATCGTTTGCAAAACGTTTGTATTACATTTTGGGCTCAGCCAAGTTACTGTAATCATAACTAAAGCTGTGATTTTACACAGACTTACTTGTTACAGTGAATTAAGTAAGAAATATTCAGTGAGATTTGGACTAGCATTCCTTGGGCAACTACCCAAATTTAGCATTCTGGCAGGGTTTATCACTGATACTCCCCTGAGCCTCCTCCCTGTTGAATATTTTTGGACAAGTGTTTTTGTAATTCACAGCTGCATCAAGCTTCTTGCATACAGTGACTATATGAATTTCCCTCCCAAATGTTTGCAGAGCATCAGACTATTTTACAGAAAAATAAAATGCATTCTAATATTATTGCTGGTCATAATGACTCTAAGAATTTCCGAGGGTACCAAATATAAAAATATCCCTGTTTTTCAATAAAACAAAGAAAAGGCATCCAGGGATGCAAATACCCTGTATGATCCTGTCTATGGATGTTCTCGAAGTAAAAGGGGGGTGGGGGTGGGGGATGAATGTAGTGTTGCATTTTGAATAACGACTTCCTTGGTTTAACAATAGCAGAGTGATTTACTTTGATCTCACTAGTTAAGATAGTTGTCAGAAGGAAAAGTTATGTCAAGATTCTTTAGCCCCTGCTACAAACGCGTGGAAATGTTTTGTTCATTACAGACAGTACTGTTCTATGTAATAAGTATTTTGATTCCGCATTAACAGAACGGCCAGATGATCTTAACTATCTTCGTTCCCATCTAATATTCGCCTGCGTTTTTTGTTTTTTGTTTTTTTGGCCCGGATCTGGTAATCCTGAGATTAGATCTTCGGGATGTCTAAGGAACACCTGCGATCTGTCCCTCATTCCGAGTGGAACCAAAGTAAACACCCGCCACCAAAACAAATCACGTGGAGAAACTCAGCAACATTAAGCTCCTCCCCCTTTCCCATTGAGATCCAATAGCTATTAGAGGCGCTGTCCCTCCTGTCCAATCAGAATAGGGTACGCCAGCTGTTCCCGGATCGTTCTGTGCTACCCGCCTCCCCCCCCCCCCCCCCCCCCCCACAGCACCCTAAGAAAAACTTGGGAAGATGGCGGCGCTGGTGTTTGCAGGCGACGTGGAAGTGGGTTTACAGTCGGTGTTTCCGCAGGAACCGGAGTTGTTTGCTGATGCTTTTCCTGTGCAGACCCGGTACCGGCTCTGTGGGCACGAGCTGAGCATCACGCAGTACCACGGAGCGCGGCTGGGAGTAGCTGCTCCGGTCTGGGAGGCGGTGAGCGCAAATCCAGCCTGGGACAGTCGAGATTGAAGGGTGCTTGGTGTTCTCTGAGCTTGATTGCAAGAGAGCGCACCTAGGACCCCTCATTTCAACCCTGAGATACAAAATATTCTCCTCCTTTAATGGTCGAGATGGTTACGCCAGTAACTGGCACTGCTGGTTCAAACAGATCCTTTATGCATGTATAAGTAGTTGGCAGAAGAAAGTTTGGACAATTTAAAGTCGTTATTTATGATCATTCCCAGGAGTCGATTTATTTTAACAACAGCACCCGTAACGCCTTAACAACAAAGAAACATTACGAATATTTAAAGCCTCATTACGAATATTTAAAGCTTATTGTGTTTCATTACAGTAAATACATGGAGTGATCTGGTTTCAAAGGGGACAGTGGGGATTTGGCACCCCTACATGCACATATTTAACTCCCTTTGGCACCTCTTTTCCTCAGTTGGCTTAGCTTCGAAGCTGGATTGGTTGCATAGCGTTAATACATGGAAAATACAAATTATACAAAAGAAACTCACAACAAGGAATGAACATAACTGTATCAGTTTCTTTAGGGCTGCTTAATGTACTTTGGTACATCATTTGCCTCATTTCTCAGTGCATGTTCAGATCTGCATCTTGACTTTACCAACTTTGTCAATGAAGACATAAAACGTGTGCTTGGCATGTGATAATCCAGAACAATTTAATATGTTTGTGTAAGTATTTTCATAACACTACTCTAAGTCTCACTATGGAGACTTAAAACCAAAGAAAACTTAAAAGTCAAAATGCTAAAATAACATCTGAAAGAGCACATATTCATCATAATGAATAAATCAAGGCCTGCTATCAAGTTTGCTTAACTTTTTTATGTATTTATATCTTAATGGTTATATTAGCATCTCTGAGCAAGCATATCACTATTCTGAAAGTCTTAAGGATAAAGAGTATCTCAGATAAAAATGCATCATGGGTGTTTGCAGTGGGGAGCACAATGGAGAGGGGCTGAAAAGTGTAGCAATGTCATGATGACACAAATCCAGTGAGTTACATATGTGGATCTAATGTCAAAGTGCACGGACAAAAGAGTGATCTTTACACAATGGCATTAATTTATGCATGCTGTCACTTTTTCATTATCATGGTTACCTGCAGACAGTTGGGTACCTAGGGCTAAGCAGAGATAAAGTGCCAAAGGGAGGAAAGAGTGTCTTCTTTGGATAAATAGCAAGGCCAGGATGTATATATGAAAGAGGAGGCAATTGAATAAGAACAATAAGAGAGAGGGCTAGAGGAAAATGTTAATTGTATTGTATATAAACTTGTACAAGATATAGTTAGTTATAAGGAACACATCAGGTATAGACTCTAATTACTTATTTGGAAAAATGTAAACATTGGGGAATCAGAACATTTTTCCTTGCAAAAAGAAAAAACTAGAAAAAGGTCAATCCGATATATAATATTTGGTGGTAAATAGGATTCTTCCTAGATTTGTTACATTCTAGGTATGAACTCTGTTGAGATCACTTGAGACTCAAGAGCACCTAGAAGAGTCATAAGGAATATGGATGAACAAAGACAAGGCCTTCTAGGCCAGTGTTGAATAGAGGTCTGGGTAGAATAGACCTGGGATGTCCAACCTCGGCAACTTTAAGACGTGTGGACTTCTAATTCCAGAATTCCCCAGCCAGCACCCCTGGATTAGACTAAGACCCATCTCATCCAGCATTCTGTATTGTACAATGGCACCCAGATGTGCCTGGAAAAGACCTTTCTTTTTCCAATTGGCAACACCACTTTCAGGGTTTCAGTTGTTCTGGGAACACATTGTTTCTCAAAAATTTGATGGAGAAATAAATTTTGCAAGTATTAACTTGCGATGTGTGCGAAACCAGGGTGATGAAATAGAAGGGAATATATTTATGTAAAAAAATAATTGGCTGCAAAGTACCTCAAAACAATTGCTAAAACATTGCCCCCTTGGAAACAAAAACCTTGTAGAATAGAAAACATGGTGCCCGCATCAAAAGAAATCTCTGAAACAAAAATAACTCATATTTGGACTGATCTATTAATTTTTTTGTTTGAAGTTTTCATTGTAAATTGTTATTTCCTCATCTGTTTTTAAGGCTCTAGCTCTCTGTGAATATTTTGAAGCAAAGAAGGTGAACTTTCAGGATAAGAAAGTGATAGAGCTTGGTGCTGGGACAGGTGTTGTTGGGATCCTCGCAGCACTTCTTGGTATGTTGAATTAACTGCAGACAAAGATAGGGAAGATAATCCTCAATTTACAACCACAATTGACCCCAGAATTTCTGTTGCTAAGCAAGATAGTTAAGTGAGTTTTGCCCTGTTTTATAACTTTTCTTGCCACAGTTGTTAAAGTGAATCACTGTTAAGTTAGTAGCAATAGCACTTAGATTCATATACCTCCCCATTGTTTTACAGCACTCTCTGTGTAGTTTACAAAGTCAGTGTATAGCCCCCAACAATCTGGATCCTCATTTTACTGACCTTGGAAAGATGGAAGGCTGAGTCAACCTTGAGCCCATCAGGATCAAACTCCAGGCTGTGGGGAGAGTTAGCTTGCAATATTACATTCTAACCACTGTGCCACCAGCATTCACTAAATTAATAACATGGTTGTTAAGTGAATCTGGCTTCCCCATTGACTTGTCAGAAGGTCACAAAAGGTGATCACATGACTCTGGGACACTGCAACCGCATGTCAGAAATACATGCAGTTGCCAAGTGTCCCAAATTTGATCATATGACAATGAAGAAAGATGCTGCAATGGTTGTGTGAAATATTATCATAAAGTCACTTTTTGTAGTGCCGTTGTAACTTTGAAGGTCACTAGAGGAACGGTTGTAAGTCAAGGACTTACCTGTATTGGTTAAACCTTGGATGTTATAATGCAAGTGAAAGTTTCATGGGGACAGATTGTGAGTCATTGTGATCTATAATGTGTTAAAAACCTAAGGTAGTCCTCAACTTAGGATCGCAACTGAGCCTAAAATTTTTGTTGCTAAGTGAAACAGTCATTAACTGAATTTTGCCCCATTTTACGACCTTTCTTGCCACAGTTGTTAAGTGAATCACTGCAGTTGTTAAGTTAGTATTACGGTTCTTAAGTGAATCTGGCTTCCCCATTGACTTTGCTTGTCAGAAAGTCGTAAAAAGTGATCACATGATCCTGGAACACTGTAACCCTTATAAATATGAGTCAGCTGCCAAGTGTTCAAATTTTGATCACATGACCATGGGGATATCACAATGATTGTAAGTATGAAAGATGGTCATGTCACTTTTTTCAGTGTCATTGTAACTTTGAAGATCACTAAATGAACTGTTGTAAGTCGAGGATTACCTATACTTAATTTTTTTTAATTACATTTATATGCCACTCAATCTCACAGTTCCTTATTGGTATATTGTTATGCATAGATTGAATTCAACATGAAGCTTTATGATGATATTTCTGACTTGTTATTATTGTTTTTAGCACAGCTGGAGATAATTTGGTTATTTGTGGATAATACCTGTGATCTAAACCCTTGAAAGCTTTTTGCGGTTCAGAGTTCCCTTTCTTTTTTTTCTTTTAGGAGGCCATGTAACCATCACAGATCTTCCTGTAGCCTTGAAGCAGATAGAGGAGAACGTCCATCGGAATTTGCCTGCACAATGCATTGCACGGACCAGGGTTTGTGCTCTATCATGGGGTCTGGACCACAAGGATTTCCCTCAAAATTATGACCTCATCCTGGGTGCAGATATTGTCTATCTCAAGGACACTTACCCACTCCTGATAAGGACTCTCCAGCATGTATGTGGTGCTCAATCTATTGTCTACTTGTCTTCAAAAATGAGAGAGGAACATAGTACAGCACTGTTTTTTGAGACTCTGCTCCCTATGCACTTCACCACAAAACTCACCTTTAGGAATGAGACTGAGAATATTAACATCTACAAAGTGACCAGCAAGAATTAAGTTGGTTAAAGACTACCTTTGGTCGTACACAGTGGAACATTCATTTTCCATCTTTTTTTTAAAGAAAACAAACATTGTGATTTGAGAATTCAGCATGGAATGAACTTGGTATCTCTCACTAATTTCTGTAAGAACAGATCCTGTCTGAGAAACAGCAGCAATTCTACCAAGCATGTATTGCCAGTGGAAATTTAACATAGGAGGTAGCCATTCTCTCTACTGACTTCCTCCTCTTTTCCTGAAGAGACTGTGAGAGAAATCTGAAGTTACGTCTTTAAAAGGTAAAGGTTCCCCTCACACATATGTACTAGTTGTTCCCGACTCAAGGGGGCGGTGCTCATCTCCGTTTCAAAGCCGAAGAGCCAGCACTGTCCGAAGATCTCTCCCTGGTCATGTGGCCGGCATGTCTAAACCGCCAAAGGCATACAGAACACTGTTACCTTCCCACCAATGGTGGTCCCTATTTTTCTACTTGCATTTTTTACGTGCTTTCGAACTGCTAGGTTGGCAGAAGCTGGGACAAGTAATGGGAGCTCACCCGTTACACAGCACTACGGATTTGAACCGCTGAACTGCCGACCTTTCTATCAACAAGCTCAGCCACTGAGCACCGCATCCCTATTATGTCTTTAAGAGTGTGTATTTTCTAGGTGTGATATGGCTTTCAGGGATGGCTCATTTTGTTCTTTTTTGCAGGTATGTTCAAAAGTGGCTATCAGGCACCAAATGGTTTGTGTGCAAAAGACAGAATAGCAATAGCACTTAGACTTATATACCGCTTTACAGTGCTTTACAGCCCTCTCTAAGCGGTTTATAGAGTCAGCATATTGCCCCCAACAATCTGGGTCCTCATTTTACCCAACTCTGAAGGATGGAAGGCTGAGTCAACCTTGAGCCTGGTGAGATTTGAACTGCTAAATTGCAGGCAGCTGGCAGGCAGCAGAAGTAGCCCACAGTACTGCATTCTAACCACTGCGCCACTGTGGCTCATATGAATGCAGTAGTTCTAATGGTGAACAGAGGTGGACTCTTTGCTGCACTTAGGAAAAACTATTCATTTATTTGAATTGCATGTCTGCCCTTTGACATCTGATCCTGGGTGAGAAAAACAGCAAGTTAAAAACACATACTGAAGCACATAACATTTGGGGCAACATAAAGGTCCACATCAGAGTCAGGGCATCTGAATCTTAGGTGATACGCTGTTTCACAGGGATGAACAAAGATACATTTTGTAGGTCCCCTAAAATGGTACTGTTGAATGAAAAGGATTTAGAACATGTTCAGAAATAATTGGAAACAGATGATCCCACAAATAATCTAGATCCTGAGTCATGCAGAATAACAACCAGCATCTTGAACTGATGCAGAAATCTATTAGGAGCTTATGCAGCTCGCACAGTTGTATTTACTCGGGTATAGCAAGGTGGTCCCTACCTATTGCTGTTGCATTCTGGTTCAGTTATAGGCTTCGTGTGATTTTTCAAAATTAGCTCTATAGAGCAAATTACAGTAGTGCAAATACAAGTTGATCAAAGCATGTTTGACTATCCTAAGGGCCTCCTGGTCCAGGCATGGGTGCAAATGATGCACAAGATGGATTTGTGCAAAGGTTCTTTTTTTACTCTTAAACAGAAGTTGAAAGCCTAGGCCCTAGGAGAAATCCCAGAATTGCACACCAGTGGTGTCTGGGGCAATGCAACCCCATCCAGAACCAGTGATGGAAAATCTCCAGATTTGGGGTGGGGTGTGTGGTTCTAAACCCCATAACTATTCAAATTTTATTAAGATTGAGCCTAAGCTTGTTTCTCCCCATTTGGGCCCCCGGAGCCTGCAGACCCTAAGATAGAAGCTCAATAGCATCACTTGGTTTGTCAAGAGTCAAAATATTAGCAATCATCAGCACCCTTATGACACCTGACCATGTGCTGTCATGATTTCACCCTTACCCAGTAGGTTCATGTAATTTAAATAGGAGTGGGGAAAGCCAAGAACTCTGGGACCTTGTAAAGTGGGACCAAGGAAGTCTAAGATAAGCACCACTTCTATCCCAGTCCTGCTAGAGGTGATCCACAAGTATGATTAATGCCATCTCACTATTATACCTAGAGCTGAACCCCAAATTAAAAGGACCTTCAAAGCTGCAGCTTAACCCACTTTCCCAGCAGACAAATTGTCCAGTGTTGTTGGATTTAATGACTGCTTCTAGGGTAGGGAGTTTTTTTCCCCATGAATAAAATTCTGATTTTGCTCTTCATCCTCTTCCAGCAACATTTTATCATTTAATCTCTAGCTAGAAGGTCCTTTGAAAACTAGGGCTCTCTGGAATCAAGCCATAGAGGCACAATGTGGTCCAAGGCCGTCACACTCTCAATCCAAAATGGCAATTAAGGCCGCAGTTAAACCACTAATCAGAATCTGAGAAACAAACTCAAGTTCCCTCTGAAATCCACAGGGCTCCATAAAAACTGTCCTAAGAATGATGTGGAATTCAAGTGTTGGTTCTTGCTTAAAAGTACAAGTTCAAGAATGTGCCAGCTAGGCAAAGTGAAGCATATAATATGTGCAGTAAAACACATGGTGCCTTTTCTCATTTTGAGATATTTTTATGTCTTCCTCTTTACAATAACTTATACAAAGTGGAACGTGATGTTTGTATGTACCCGTAGACAAACGCTGCATTTGTATTTCCAACACTATACTGTCCCATTCATTTAGGAATCAAGGCTTCAGTCGAATTTGTTGTATACTGTATCTTAAAAGATGCTAGTGATATATGTGTGTGTGCATTTTGTAAATAGATTCTGCATTGCATATCGACTGTAGAAGTACAGCTGCAACAATATTTATTCTTGCTGCATTGCATGGAAGATATTGTGGTTCCCTAAGATCATTTATTGATGATCTTAAGGACCATAATATCATATGCCAACTAAACTGCTCAAAAAAAATAAAAGGAACACAAGCAGAAGACATCCGAGATCTGAATGAATGAAATAGCCTTATTAAATACTTTGTTCGTTACATACAGTAATTTTGTGTTCCCTTTAGTTGTTTGAGCAGTGTATAAACTACTGTATGTAAAGAACAAAGTATTTAATAAGGCTATTTCATTCATTCAGATCTGGGATGTCTTCTGCTTGTGCTCCCTTTATTTTTTTTGAGCAGTGTATTTCATGAACTAAAATAATTTATGTTACTTGATCTCCGTCAATTATTATACTGCAAATGGTAAATCAGTAAGTATTTGCATCATTAAACAGCATTAAAGTCCATCTTAAAAAAACTGTCAATTTTTGAGATGGGGGGGGGGGGGAACCCACCGGTCTAAATCCAGCACGACGCCGACCTGGCTGCGTTCCCCTCTCTACGGCTCAGCGGCGTCTTGCTTCAACCAATGAAACGCCTAGCCCTAGGTGGGTTAGAGCGAATCAGCTTCGAGGGAAGGTAGGCCCGTTCTGCGCGCGCGCGGACTTCACCCTAAGGAAGCCGGGTCTCCCCCGTCGCATAACGTAGAGGGTTTGATGACGTCTAATTCTCGCGTCCTCGACATGCTGCGCGTTTCGGGGCTGGGGTGGACTCTGGTCTCCTTGCAAGCGAGGGGCGCTTTGGTGCCGCAGGTGAGGGGCGCCTGCCTGGAGGCGATGCCGAAACTTGAGCCAGTTTACCTGCAATGGTTCTGCTTGCGGTCTGTTTCCATCCAGATCACCAACGCTAGAGCGGGTTCCCACGTTTCTTTTTATAAGGGGAGGCTGCGAGGCTCCTCTTTGCCTTTAAAACAATAGAATTGCATGCGTGGGAACTTAACGTGAGACTTTCCTATTTCTGCCTGCGATTCAAATTTTAATTTTTTTTTTAAATTACCAAAGGCTATCATTGTAATGAATCTTTGTATAGAATGGCCGAATATAAATTAGTTTGGTGTAGTGGTTTTAAGGCACCAGGGTTAGAAACCGGTAGGCTGTGAGTTTAAGACACCCTGGGGATTAAGCCAGCTGGATGATTTTGGGCCAGTCTCTCTCTCTCTCTCTCTCTCTCTCTCTCTCTCTCTCTCTCTCTCTCTCTCTCCCTCTCCCTCTCCCTCTCCCTCTCCCTCTCCCTCTCCCTCTCCCTCTCTCCCTCCCTCTCTCCCCGCTCCAGGGACAATGCAAACCACTTCCGAAAACTTACCAAGAAAACCGCAGGAACTTGTCTAGTCAGTCACTCACTCGGAATCAAGGCTGACTGGAAGGCACAATCAGCCCATTCAACTAATAGGGCTTATTTGAAATTGGAAGATCTGGAAGTAGTCATTCACGTCCTCATTATCTCAAGGGTGGACTTCTTCCATGGGCTTTACATAAGGCTGCCTTTGCAAACTATTTGGAAACTGCAATCTGGTGCAAAATGATGAGCAATTTACTGGCAACTAAGAGTTGCTACAGTCACATGACATCAATTCTATGTTGCAATGATTTATGGGTACAGTTCAAAATAGTTAGTTTTAACTTGTAAACCTTGACTAACTTCAGTCTCAGATTTCTCTGGGACCATCTTCAAATTGAATCTGCCCACGGATGGAGGTAAATATACATGTCCCATGATAATGTTGCAGAATCCAATGTGGGTTGGTCACTGGGACCAGAGGTTTATTAGAGGAAGACTAACCTCTGGTCCCGTTGACTGACCCAGATTGGATCTTCAATCTTCCCACTCCCTGTGAACAACAAGAGAGAGGAGCCTCCTCTCTGATAGGTTGCAGGTAGTCCTTTTCAACAGTTGCTTCTACTCTAGAAAACTTTCCCTCCAAAAGTGCAAATGGTCAATACCGTGTTAGTCTTTAGAAAAGTAGTAAAAACTATATTTTTGAAAAGGAGTTTTGGAGGTTGATTTACTTATCATCTCTACAAGGAAAGGCTCATTGAAGTTGGATGTTTTATTGTGGAATTGTGTGTTACAGTTTTTAATCTATTATTAAATACACTGTGATTTTGTAGGTGTTGTATTTCATATTGTAAACTTCCTAGAGTAATTTATTACAAACATTAAAAAACAGAGGTTTCTTCCATGCTTCAGAAGCCAGTTTGGCACAATGGACTACATATCTGCCCTCTCATTTCTTCAGCATCTGAGAAAAGCATCTCTTTTCTGTATGTTCTCACCGGATCAAAAGACAGCTTTGCTACAGGTGAATTGGTACCTGCACATTCTCTTTGGGACTTTGTCAAACTTAGAATTCTGATTGTATATTTTTCTGCTAGAGGTCATTTCTAGTAAGATCAGTGGAATTGATTTCCAAGCAACTGTATGGCAAGAGTCCCTAACTCCCGGCTGTGGCCCATTATCAGGCCTTGAGCTGTTCAGAACCGGGCCGTGGAAGTGGTGTGAGCAATGGGCAAGCACATGCGTGCGCACTCCATTTGTGTGAGTGGTGTGCACACCTGCGCACCACTTGTGCAAATGGAGCTGCGCATGCTTGCCTCCACTCACACAGAACCATTCCCCCCTCCCCCCACCGGTCTGCAAAGCCAGAAGGGTAGGGGAACTCTGCTGTATGGGATCACATTCTTAATTATTCTTCTTCACTTTGCTATCCACAGATGGGTCAGTGGCAATATCAAACCTTTTCATTTTATTTGTTGTTTTTCCCCCATACAGCAATGGCATTTGCCTCGTTTCCTTCATCTTGGCATTCCTGCCCTGGCAGCAAAGGAAGCACTGATGAAACTTAGGAAGAAAACTGGCTATTCCTTTGTGAACTGCAAGAAAGCCTTGGAAAAATACGATGATAACGTAGAAGAAGTAAGAATAATTTGTGCATGTGTATGATATTGTAATCCCATATCTTTCATTTGCTCATTCTTTTTCCGTCTTATCAACATGTTGCTTCCAAAAAAAATCTTGTTTTAAAATCTGAGGTACAATTTCGTCTTAAAGCAACAATCTTGTGCTTGCTGACAAAACAGTAAATCCTATTGACATTGGAGAATTTAGCCTGGAGTAAATATAATTAAATCTGTACTGGCTCTTGTTTCTTCTTGTCTTGTGAATCCGTGCATACTTTTATAGGCAAACAAATTATAAAATCACATTTTTGGCATTGTCTTTTCTGTGCCACTGACAAACTTTTATACAGTTCAAGAGTGAGCAGGAAGGGGGGTGCTCAAATATGTAACCACCCACTGCTGTTCCTGCTACTCTGAAAATCCATACATGGGAAAAACTGGAATGTGACCGAGGAACTTTTCAATGATTTTCTAACTTTCTACTTACAAAGTATTTTTATAATAGGGACACGTTCAGAGCTATTCACCTCTTTTGTAGAAGTATAATGGGAGAATACATTTGTTTTTATCTAATATCCCCCCAATTAAACAATGTTACTGGAATACCGGAAGTGGGCATTCTTTGTCATGGTACTGCCCTCTTGAACACTATTCCGCCCAAGATTTATATGTTCCTCAGTGCCTATTTAAATGAGCCCTTTAACATATGTCTGTCTCTCAATCAGAATCGGTGGTAGTTCCCTTGTGAGATGTTTGATGGTTTAATTTATCTTTTTTTCCCCTTAATTTACTTCTGGATTATATATCCTTTTCTTTTTATATACAGATAGTCCTCAATTTATGACCACAATTGAGCCCAAAATTTATGTTGTTAAGTGAGAAATTTGTTAAGTTAGTTTTGCCTCATTTCCTTGACACATTTGTTAAGTGAATCACTGCAGTTAAATTAGTAACACGTTTGTTAAGTGAATCTGGCTTCCCCATTGACTTTGCTTGTCAGAAGGTCGCAAAAGGTGATCACATGACCCCAGGACACTGCAACCGTCATAAATGTGAGTCAGTTGTCAAGCATCCAAATGCAAATCACCTGGCCATGGGGGAATGCTACAGCGGTCATAAGTGTGAAAAATGGTCATCAGTCATAATGTTTTCTCTGCCGTTGTAACTTTGAACGGTCATTAAATGGACTGTTGTAAGTCGAGGACTAACTGTATTTGTATGTATGGGTGGATAGATGGGCGAATAATTATATTTCATGCTGGGGTTTGTCTTCAAAGGCTGAAGTCTGGCTGCACGAACAAGCACAGAAGGAGGGATGGAGCAAAGCGTTGAAACTTCAAGGGCGGAAGACAACAGAAGGTCTAATAGGGCTGCTTCAAGAGGGAAGCTCAGCAATAATGGTAGAGGTGAGTCTTTCCTTTGGCCCAAAGAATGAAGACCTTGTTTTCTTCCAGGCACTGAGGCCAGATTGTTTATAAAGATGGCGTAGGGTGGTTAATTTAATTTAATTTAATATTTAAATTTATATACCACCCTTCTCCCGAAGGACTCAGGGCGGTGAACAGCCAGAAGTAAAAAACATCAAATACAAAATATAAAAACAATTTAAAAATGAATTAAACAATTTGGCCCGACAGTTAAAATCCCCCATTAAAAATCCAAATTAAAATACACAATTGGAGAGATTAGGCCAGCCCGACTTGATGAAATAAAAAGGTTTTGAGGGCCCAACGGAAAGTACGTAAGTCTGGAATCGTCCGTATCTCCGGGGGGAGCTCGTTCCAGAGGGCAGGTGCTCCCACAGAGAAAGCTCTTCCCCTGGGGGCCGCCAGTCAGCATTGTTTGACCGACGGCACCCAGAGGAGCCCCTCTTTGTGGGAGTGTATTGGCCGGTGGGAGGCTCTCGGTGGCAGAAGGCGGTCCCGTAAATATCCCGGCCCTAAGCCATGGAGTGCTCTAAAGGTGGTCACCAACACCTTGAATCGCACCCGGAGGACCACCGGGAGCCAGTGCAGCTCGTGCAGGAGAGGTGTTACATGGGAGCGCCATGACGCTCCCATAATCACCCGCGCGGCCACATTCTGGACCAGTTGGAGCCTCCAGGTGCTCTTCAAGGGGAGCCCCATGTAGAGAACATTCCAGTAGTCCAGGCGGGAAGTGACGAGGGCATGAGTGACCGGTTGGTGGGGTGGATGGATGTTTTTATCAGAGCCTCAGTGCGGTTTACTGTTTTAAGTGGCTTTATTGAATTGTGTTTTTGTGTTGTTTACTGCTCAGGTTTCCTTTTGGCAGATGGGCAGCTATATAAATTGGTTAAAGAAATAAATATTAGGCATCTTGGAGCAAGAATGATTATATGGGAATATGCTTCTCCTTAGCATATAGGTGTGCTCTGCCTTGAACATGGTGCTCTTTGACGTTTGGGGCTACAAGTCTCTTTGGAAGGGGGTCTTCAAAATTTTTTAAATTTGAACCATTTAAATTAAAATAATTCGTCCTAAATTCAGACAGCCCTTTTGCATTTAAAATGAGCTGCCTCACTTACCTAGATAGCGCGTTCAAAGTGAACGGTGTCAAACTTAAATTACTGCTTCCAAAATTCCAAAACAGCCTATTTCAAATTCCCAATGGGATAATTTGACTTTGAAACTGGTCTCTGCACCACTGCTCTCTTACCACAGCAGATCAGGGATAGAGAGAATGTCAAAGACAAAAGAGAAAGGAACGTTTGCATGATAGTTTGCTGTAATTCTGAAAAGCCTCTCTGGGTATAAGTTTGGAAGCAAGTGCTCTCTTAGAAAAGCCACTTTCTTTACGTCTCCGAGTAACAGTATAAACATAAATACTTGCTTTTGAGCCTGCTGAGGTAATGCAGGAAATTTTCCTGGTCTTTCCCAGATTCAAATATCAGGAAATCTAATTTATCTAAAGTATAGATCAGTTCACTGGTCAAAGGTTTTTAAACAAATGGTGTGTTTAGCTTCCTGGGTTTTCCCCTTTATTTTATTGTTTTGGTTGAGCAATACTGGCATTGAATAAAATGATATAGTGCTGGGATCCTGCTTTTTTGTAATAGGATCCTGCTCAGAGTCTGTGTCAAAGACAAAGAGATAGCTGCAATGGTTTGGCAACCGTTTTCATAGTCTGGGGGCAGGGGGAACAGGCAATGGAGCTACTAAGGATCCTATTAACAGCCATTTTACATTCAGTTCTCCTGAGACAAGTACAAACCTTACAGTGGTGGGGCTATCTTTACTGTAGAAGTAGGTCCAGGTAATGATTAATTAGTAGTATTAAACACACAGTTAAACAGAGAGCTAAGAGGGCTGTGAAAATTTTTACAGACCCCTCACATCCTGGACATAAACTGTTTCAACTCCTACCCTCAAAATGACGCTATAGAGCACTGCACACAAGAACAGTTTTTCCCAGATCACCATCACTCTGCTAAACAAATAATTCCCTCAACACTGTCAAACTAGTTACTAAGTCTGCATTACTATTAATCTTCTCATCGTTCCTATCACCCATCTCCTCCCACTTATGACTGTATGACTGTAACCTTGTTGCTGGTATCCTTAAGCTTTATATTGACTGTTTCCTAATATGATTTGATTACTTATTTGTTCCGTATGACTATCATTAAATGTTGTACCTTATGATTCTTGACGAATGTGTCTTTTCTTTTATGTACACCAAGAGCGTATGCATCAAGACAAATTCCTTGTGTGTCCAATCACACTTGGCCAATCAAGAATTCCTATTCTATTCTATTCTATTCTATTCTATTCTATTCTATTCTATTCTTCTATTCTATTCTATTCTATCTATTCTATTCTACTCTACTCTACTCTACTCTACCTACTCTACTCTACTCTACTCTACTCTACTCTACTCTACTCTACTCTTCTCTTCTCTATTTTGGACATTAAAATAGTATTTATCAATTATCTTGCATACGCTGTGTTTAGCTTTGATTCATTGTAGTTTTAGAATAAAGGATATTCTTACAGGGTAAGGAAGAGAGAAGAATGTCACTTTCACCCAGCTTGACTTTGGGAAAGTCTGTGTGTCTAGCTCTATTTTAACCTCTTTAGTAATATAATTGCTGGTGAGATATTTCTAAATTAGCCATACTTTTCTGCCAGGTAAACTGTGAGACCGATTTTGTGGCCAAAAACGTTAAATTTCAACAGCTGGTTCAGCAAGTAGCTATTGGAACAATGATTCACCATAAGGAGACTATAGACCAGTCAAACACATATGCTAAGGTAAGAATGATGTAAACACATATATGTGGGCCTCAAAAATATTTGGTAATTTTGAAGAAATGATACTAATATTTCAAAGCACTACATTTAAATCTTCTTGCTGGTTGGTTCTTCAGGAGCACCTTCAAACAAAATTCTAGTTGGGCAATTAAAAATGTCAAAGGTAGCTTTTTAGGTGGGGGCTGGCCAGCATGGCACATGAGACTTAGTCTAAGAAACTAGTGCATTGCTAATCAGAAACAGGTACGCATTTTGAAATAACAGAAAACAGGTATGTATTCCCCATACTAAGTGATACTAAGGTATCTCCTCAGAAGCGCCTGCAAAAATGCAATGATTCTTTGGCATTAAGTCCTTCAGAAAAAAAATGCAGCTTGCTGCAAAATTGCCTCGTAGCTCATGCCTTGCATCTATTAAGTAAGTGAATGAAATTTATTTATGTACAATTTCATATATTGCTGTATTGTGAGAAAACCTCTAGTAATTTAGGCCATTTCCTGGTTCAGGATCATCTTAGCCTGAATCCATCATTCTCTCTTTTTTCCAGGCTAGAATATGTTCTACTCTTATGGTGGATAAAATTCTCCAGAAAACATAGGAGCTTTATGCTCCAGGACAGGAATCCCTCATTTTTTTTTCATGGCAAGGGTCCATTGTTGACATCTTATGGTGAGGTGATGACTATGGTAGATGGACCAATGATGCAAAATAAACAGAATTTCTACATCAGTTGATCTGGGGGTTTTGTTCTATTTTGGGAAGTTGACAGTTCTGTTGTTGTAGTAGTTGTTGTTTATTTTCTGAGTTGTGTGAAGAGTATCTCAAAACACACAGATTCCCAAGTGCTGCTTACCTTAAAGTGCTATAAAATATGCCACCAATTATGATTACTGTCAAACTCCAGCAGTGAAACCAAAGAGGACTCTAGGTTTCATAGGCTATACAACCTTCTGTGTCTGTAGGCGCCTTACTTTTGCTATGGAACCAAGTGTTGTTGAAATAGTGGAGCTGCAGGGAATTCTTTCTTGGTTTCCCAGTGTCAGTTTGCACCTCTTTAGCTAAGCATATGCAGAGAGAGAAACCAGTGTGGTTTTGAAAGATACTTGGTTAATGAAACAAAGCTATAGTGCTCACTTTCCTTGCAGCTTTTTTTCTTTTGGGGGCACAATTATACTACATCCCGTGTTTGCGTTAGTCTTCTGTAAAACCTGCCATATTAAAGCAGTAGCCAGGTAGCATTTTTAGCATCTCTCTGTTGAGAGCACAGGTTTTGCACGTGAGCCTTCCCACATAATGCAGCTTTTTGCAGGCAAGGTTTCGGCAATGGATCAGGTGTCCTGATCCCACACGTTCCTGCACACAAGCCCTGCGTTAATGTTCCTTTGCAAACAACGCTGTGCAGCGAGATGGAGATCGGAGTACCTACTTGAGCACTTGGGCTAAAAATGCAGCCTCAGTCCTGTTACAGGACACAGAAACCTTCCCCTCAAAAAAATCACCTCAGTTGAGCTGAGGCCCTGGTAAATTTAGACAGCCCAGCGTCGCTCTTGATAGTGAGGTGGATGGCATATACATTTAGTATACATGTGGATAACACTCAAGGTCTCTGATGTATGATTTTGACCTCTTCGCGAGCTTATTTTATACTGAGCTTATTTTCACATTTTTTTTAACAGTTAGGAATTGGACGTTGTCGGGAAAGGTACAGAGTTTACATACATCATCTGTGCTCAGTGAAGCTAAAGGATATCTAGCAGCATGTCTCAAAGGCTCTGGGAATTGCTGCCCCTTTTGATAGTGGTTAATGGCCATCTTGTACTTTCATTGGATGTCCTGTTCCCATCTCCATCAGAATCTGGCCTAGAATGAAGGAGGCTTCCTCTGTAGTTCTGTTGCATGTTGCCTCAAGTGTGTGTCCACCAGTGTTGCTGTACTTATTATGTGTGTTTAAAATTCATTTACTGTTTTTTCAAAATAGTTCTACTGTTTAACTTGGTTTTAACCCAGCACTACATTAACTAGATAGCAGATGGTCTTTTTAAAAAATTAAATACATTTAAAGTTAAAAAGGGACGTGGTTGCTCAGCAGCTAAGGCGCTGAGCTTGTCGATCAAAAGATCGGCAGTTCAGCAGTTCGAATCCTTAGAAATCCTAAATGCCTCCCGTTACTTGTCCCAGCTTCTGCCAACCTAGCAGTTCGAAAGCACATAAAAAATGCAAGTAGAAAAATAGGGACCACCTGTTGTGGCTCCGTTACCTGAGCCTGTGTCATCGGCAGGAGAGGACTCCGAGAGTGAAGGAGAGGAATCGGCAAGGCCTCCCTCTCCAGGACCCTCCTCTCTGGCAATGCCTTCGATGTCCGCCGAAGGTCAAGAGATAGGCCCGGGGCCAAGCACGTCCACGCAGCCACAGGTGGACAGTAATGAGGGAGATGAGTCTTGGCTGGATCCTCGGCAGCATCGCAGAGATAAGTGCACGCAACAGAAGAAGAGGCGTGCCAGAGATTAAGCTGAGTCACTGGACCACACCCCCCAGGGTATAAAAGGGGGTGAGGTGGCCATTCAGACTCTGTGACGGACAAAACTACTATTGAGTCACATTGCATTTTTGGGAGCAACATTATCTACCTTGGATTTAATTACGGACTGGACTTGACAATTCTTGAACTGTGTGTATTTTGTTTATGAGTAAAGTCTTGGCAAGCAGCTACTGGGTTGCTGCCAATCCTCTTATCGAAAGAATTGGTTGTCTGCCAGTTTATTTAACCCTGGCTGTCTGTTTGTGTGTGTGAGAGAGACAGGGACAGAACGCCACCTTTGGTGGGAAGGTAACAGCGTTCTATGCGCCTTTAGCGTTTAGTCATGCCGGCCGCATGACCACGGAGATGTCTTCGGACAGCGCTGGCTCTTCGGCTTTGAAACAGAGATGAGCACCTCCCCCTAGAGTCAGGAACAACTAGCACATATGTGCGAGGGGAACCTTTACCTTTACCTTTTAAAGTTAAATAACTTTTACAAACCAGTAGCTGGCAATTTCTGAAGCTTTCTAGATATGATTTGCTGTAAGAGCACAACAGTCCTATGAAACAGTCCTATTACTATTTGTGGGTGGCAGATTGGATGAGTTTGACAAAAGAAAAATACTGCAAGAAAACACTATAGAAGCCCTTTATTGTTGTTCCTGGGACATTAGACTATTGCTTCTTGCTGACAGTTTGCTGCTGATGTGGTTTGCACCTTTCTCTTCATTCCATTTTTATTATTCCAGATTCCTTACCACATCAGAAGGAAAGCAATGCATACAGCCAAGTCGTTAAAAAGAACTAGTCCCTGGATTTACTTTGCAGGTTTCCGTTAAAAAAATTAATTGATACCATGTTTGAATGTTTTCTAGCGTTTCTTAAATTCTGATGAACTTTCTCAAGTCAGGACAGGACCAGAGGGATCTTTGCTTACTGACCAACTTGCTCTGGCGATAGGTGAGTGTTTGGTGCCCAGTTAATAGCCAGCAACGGGCAGAAAGGAGTGGTAAAAATTTCCTGTTTTCATGCACTATGTTTTACTTTTGAATGTATGGAATTTATGACTGATGGAGAGATGTAATATTCTATCTATTTATATTCCATCTGTTCTCCCAAGAGCTTAAGGCAACATTTAGGCCTCTGCTTATTTATTCCTCCACCTACAACATTCCTGGGAGAGGGAAGTTGGACTGAGAAAGAGTAATTGGCCTAAAGAGATCCAGTCCAATCTCCGCCATCTGGGGGACAGCCAACTCTTAAACTACTATCCTAATTTTAAGGGGACCCTTCAAATATTTCATCTTACTCACATTGTTGCTTTGCCACATGTTGGTGAGCCCTGAAACATTCTCTGCACCTCTAGTAGTTCATGCTGTTCTCTCTGCTTCTTCTCCTCCCCCTTTTTAAATTTTTTCTCTCTTTTCTTTTAAAGGCAAGCTAGGCGAGAACATGGTTGTTAAGAGGGCAGCATGCATATCAGTGCCTGAGAATTTCTTCATCGGCTCTTATGTACACGGGTCACTCTCTGAAAGCAGCTCATTGCTTTCTAACATGTTATTTGGCAAATACGGTGCCATGGTGATCTGCAGTTCCTCGGAGGAAGACCCAAAGTCTGACATTGCTGAACTGAGCAGGAGATTGGCCCAGCATGTGGTAGGTATGGCCCCTCTCTCTGTGGGTTCTCTGGAAGACGAACCCGGAGATGAATCTGAAACAAAGATGCTTGCCCAGCCATACGTTATGGAGCCAACAATTTCCTTGGGACAATACCTTCAGCCGACTGGTATATCTGTGTTGGATTTTGTGCGGTTTGAATGTGGAGAAGATCCAGAGTTGTCCGAATCAAGCTAGGCAAGATTGGTTTGTCAGACTGGGAATGTCAGACTAGTTCCCAATTCTAAAGCCAAGAATGAAGAACATTGAATGTCTTTCAAAAACACAGAAATGAGTTTTGTGGAATGTGACCAACAAAATGTTGCAAACAGATGTTAATGTAACAAATAAAGTACAAGTTCCTTCTGTGATTGTAATGGTAAGTTTATGAGGGTTGTGGCCTCTTATTCAAGCCTGTCATATTGTTCGCATTAGCTTTCGGAAATGTGACAAATCTGTCTTTATTTTCTGTAAATGAAATCAGTAGGATTCTTTGAAACTGACTGTCAGCAAACGTCACGTGCCTTTTGCATACATTTAAAGTGCTTAACCAGAGGGACAGCATATGTATTTTGCTGAGTAATTAATAACTCTATTCTGATTAATGAAGTGTCTTTGTGAAGAAGAAGTGAAATAAATAAGGTAAAGGATTCATGAGAGGGAAGGAAGGGGTGGGTTTTTCTGAATGCCAGTGACAAGTTGAGACTAAGACTGACAGTCATCCGGAAGACACCAAACGAGAGAGAATTTGTCTGTGAGGTAAATAGCTGAATCATGAAGACCAGACATTCCTTATACCCCTTGGAAACTTCCTGCAGCCCCTCTTCAGACGTAGTGTGTTAGCAATGAAGACTAGAATTGCCTTCCTGTTTCTATTTAAGTCAGTTGTTAAGTCCCTTTGACGTAGTTACTACCAATAAGTAAACTAGGATCTTAAATTTTTCTTGTCCTGCGCCCTCTGTCCCAGATTCTAAAAGTGTCTGGAATAGCAGCAGTGAGGCATTGTAGTTGTCGTCCACCAGAAAAATGAATCTTCTTTAATAGAAGATCCATGTTTTGTTTCCTGCTGTAGTTTGTAGTATTTGAACAAATGTAACAGGTTACTGTGTCACTGTTGTAGACAAACACATCTGTTTAGTAACCTATGCTGAAATTGGCTTTTGCACAGGGTAAGATGGATGTCTTCAGTACCCACATGCAATGTCGGTTTGGTTACTTTATGTCCATATTAACTTGTTAAAGAGATGACATCTTTTAGCATAGCTTAGGCCAGTGATGGCGACCTATGATATATATATTAAAGGTGACACACAGTGACATTTTAGGTGATAAGCCAGCATTCACCAATACTCAACTAATCTTGAAAGTATACCGCCCTCTTACATAATTTTCAGAGGCTGTGTGAGAAGGGGGTATGCGCTCACTCTGGATCCTCTGAAAATTGCACAAGAACAAGGTGTGCATTCACATATGTTTTGGCGGCTGTGGAGAAGTTTCTCTGAAGTTTCTTCAAGGACAAAAGCCACATGGACCTGAACCAACCTGGGCTAGTTCCACAGGGTTCTATCAACATAAAAATAATACTGCTTGAAATAGTGTGTGGCAGATCTTGCTAAGTACTAAATCTCGGGGGCAATTACAGCATTCCCCAAGGTTTGTGCATCTGAGTTGGCCTGGTGGGGGTGGACAACTTTAGGTCTGATCTTGGTGCTGCTGAATGTCACTGTTCGAAGTGGCCTAGATGGAGGCTGGAAATTTTTTCTCTTATCCAGGGGTACGTGGTCTGATACATCAGCAGAGTCAAGTTAGACAGTTACTAGAAACCAGCATGGCTTTGTCAAAAACGGATAATGCCAGACAAAACTTATTGTCTTCTTTGACAAGGTTACTAAATTGGTGGATCAGGGTAATTCTGTGGACATAGTATATTTAGACTTCACTAAGGCATTTGACAAAATGGACTGCAGCCTATGTCTTGGTAAGATAGAAAAATGTGAGATAGACAATATCACCACCAGATGGATTCACAATTGGCTGACCAACCGCACTGAGCAAGTAATCTTCAATGGAATTGCATCTACATGGAGGGAAGTATGCACTGAGATGCCCCAAGATTCTGTACACTATAATTTTGTGACCAATCCTTGTATTCATGACCTTCACGGTCCGTAAACAAAAGAAAAGCTGAAATAAGATCATACAATTACTGTTTCATTTAGTGATAGCTTTACCTAATGACCAAGTTGCCAATCCCAATTGTTAAATGAGCTCCTGCATCAGGAGTGGATTGGTGCTGGATATAAGATGGCTTACTTGTATACAATGCCAAAATGGCAGCTGCTGCGATGTGCTTCTGCAACAGTGTGTGTACTCAGGAATTTGTTGTGAACTATGCCTGATTGTGAGTAATTGGAAGCATATCAGGGAAAGAAAGCATGGCAGTCTTTAATGAGTTTCCTCAAGTCAAAGCTAGAACAGAGGTGGTAGAAGATTGCACTAAGTTAAGGTAAAGTGGGATTTTGGTATGCTTGTTTTTAAATAAACCTTGATAGGTGGCAGTCAATGCTATAGATGACACTGTTGTGAGCAATTTAGAGGAGGGTTGAAATATTCTTTTTAAAAAACGGTATATTATAAAAAAAAATACAGCATATGTATCTTGTCAAGAGAAATTAGCTTATTCCATTATTTAATTTTCTATCTGGCATTCCCTTCAGGTGCTTAATGTGGCACTATGTAATTTGATGTAGGTTGAACTGAGAATGAGTGCCTGTCCCACAGAATGAAATCCAGTCATTAAAAGTAAGTAACATGCTTGTTTCTTGCCCAGCCCTAACCTCCAATTGTTTGTTTTATTCATGGGTAATACAAATTCACATATCATTTTAAAAAGTGCAAGGGCAAGAACAATCACATTGCTAAACTTCTGAAATGAAGCATCTATAGTCCAGGGCCCTTTGTATGCAACCTTAAAGGGGAAGGCCAGTCTGTGCTGGATAGCCTCAGGTACCCATCCATCCCAATAGCAATAGCACTTAGACTTATATACCGTTTCACAGTGCTTTTACAGCACACTAAGCAGTTTACAATGTCAGCATATTGCCCCCAGCAATCTGGGTCCTCAGTTTACCAACCTCAGAAGGATGGAAGGCTGAGTTAACCTTGAGCCGGTCAGGATCGAACTTCTAACAGCTGAATTAGCCTGCAATACTGCATTCTAACCATTGTGCCACAACAGTTCCTAACCAGCATAATCATAGGAATAATGGGAGTTGTAATCCAAGAATGCCTGAAAGGTCTCCCTTTCACAGATCCAATATTCCTTGAAAATAGATAAGGATCAGAGCAAATAAGGTACTATTCACATATTTAATGATGATCATGTAACAGTACATGCTTCAAAGCAGCAGCCCTGCCAAAAAGCTTGGATTTCCAGGGATCAACCCAGTTGCTATTTATAGGGTAGATACTTGCCCAAAGCATAGCCCCAATTACTAGTGGATCTGCCAAGTTTCAGCAGTTCAGTTTACTTCACAAGTAGTGACTTTTCTGCTAAAAAAATGGCTTGTTAGAGAGTGGGTAGTTGATGACAGCGGGGAGAATAAACTTCCTGGACAGCAGCAGCCCTTAATAGATTAAAACAACTTTCTGAATGTACTTAGGCCCAATATGGATACGCTCTTAAAAAAAAAAGACAGCTCCTGAAGCAAGCTGCTTCTGGACTTGGCTCCTTCTCGAACGCAAGAGAAACCCAAGAAAGATGATTCCCATTTTCGAGTTTGAGAAATGCCGTATTTTCTTTTTCCTCAGAAAAGACCCCTTTCTTTTTTCATGTGAAGTTGCTTCCAAGTAGGAAGGGTAGCGAACTTTTCCCGGGGGATTCCAAAGACTCTCATAAAATCATCATCTGACAGGAAATTCTATGGATGGGGAAAAATAACAACAGATGAGTAAGAAGGATGAGGCTGAAGCAGAGTGTAGAAACAATGGGATTTCTCCCAATTTGGTTAAAATTAGCTCTACAGATCCCACCAGACTAAATTAATCATGCCAATTGCTTTTAAGAGACTTATTTTGATTACAGGAAGAAACCACATTGGATAGTCTATTCTATTGAAACATAAAGGGCTTACCACACTGAACATTATGCACTAAAAAACATAACTTGATGCTGTTTAGAATATGGTTGTCATGAGAAACCTTGGCAAAGGAATGGATTGAGGTAATGATAAAGGAATTAACACGTGCTGTCCTAATTATTTAACTGCAGGCTGACTATATAAGAGGGAAAAAATAAGCCTTCAATGAGAGTTAGGACTACAATCCTTCCTGATATGCTAATTTTTTAGATGAATGAGAACTGGGGAGATATACTTGGCATTGAGTTGCAATTCAAGCTTCTGAAATCTCTATTGGGGGGCGGCTGTTTTAAGTCCAGGTTTATCTCTTAATCTGCTGTTTATGATTTCAGAAGCCTGGCACGTTACCAGGTATAACCCAAAATATTTAGAGCTGATTTGTGCAGCCATGAGAATTAGGAATATACTACCTGCAAGTCTAAAATGATCAATCCTGCCCCTCAGTTTTAAAACAACAGGCATGTCTTTATGGAATCTTTGAGGCCAAGTCTGGTTACTTTTCTCAACCCATGGCAAATGCTCGATAGGACTCACCTCCTTCTTAGCAGGATCCACGTCTTCGGGTAAGTCCTCCAGGCTGGAGAGCAGAACTTCTAGAGAATAGATTGAACTCTTGCTGCTGCTCAGGGTCTCAAGTCTGTGATCCTAAACAGAGCACACCAAATTCTTAAAAGCTGGCTGAAAAATTTATTTCCTGAACCAGTCTTCTGGTAGCCTCAAAAGAAGTGGAACTAAAACCCCCAGGCTTCCCTGCTAGAATGGTTTTCCAAAACATCTAGAGCAGTGATGGCTAACCTTTTCGGCACCAAATGCCAAAAGCGCACGTGCACGCACACCCATAATGCAATGCTGGTGCAACCCCCCGCATGCCCCCCCCGCTCATGCGCGCATGATCCCCGCATCAGTGGTGAAATGCAAAATTTGTTACTACCGGTTCTGTGTGTGGGTGTGGCTTGGTGGGGGGTAATGTGCCTGGGTGGGTGTGGCCAACTTTTTTTTTTTTTTACTTTTAAAAGCATTTTTTCTACAACCTCTTTGGCCGAAGAGGTTGTAAAAAAAAATGCTTTTAAAAGGCTCTGACGATCCCAGCTGAGTTGCCTGATCGTCAGATGCTTTTTTTTCTTTTAAAAGTATTTTTTTTTTCTTTTAAAATGCTGCCGAACCGGGAGCATTTCACCCCTGCCCTGCATGTAACCCATGCATGCGTGCACGACCCCCATGGGTGCGCCCCA